TCCCATCACTCACAAATCGTTTTTTCCGGATTTTTCCCAATTCTTTATCCAATCAGCAGGTAGTACCGCCGCCGCCGCCATCTTCCCTCTATAGTGCGGACAGGCCGGATGTTTAGCACATCAGCAGAGGTCAAAGTGGAGGTAGGAGGAGCGAAGCATGCCGGGAAATGGGCCTTCTCCAACTGTCCCACATGAAATACATACATATCACATCCATTAAGAGTTCTTTTACAGTGGAGTCATCATATTTATATTTATAGCTCCTCCTGTCCTTTCCATCTTCACATTCCTGAATATTAGAATGCTTTGTCCCTATACTTATCTATCTATATATAAATAACTGGCTGAACCACAACTGGGTGACATTTGTTTGTCATAAACAATTGCAATGTTATATAAAATATTGTTGGTCCTCATTCACACGGGATTTTAGGGACGACACAGGATTCCTGTGGCAAAAATCAGCACGTTCTTGCAGCGTGAGCCTAGGTTCAGACCTGAGCAACACCCGTAATGTGCGTCCCAGCAACGTGCGATCGTGTGCTAGTGCGCGCAGTGGTTGTCATGCGGCCCCATTGATTTCAATGGGGCTCCATCCGTGCGACAATCGCTGAAAAAAGGTACATGTACCTTTTTTGCGACACGTGGTGCGTGGCTTGTTTTAGCCACGATCGTGTAAAATTGCACGGGCGGAATCGCGGCAGGAAACTGCGCAATCTGCCCGGCGCGACTAGGGTGCCATTAGAAAATAATGGTACAGCCAGCGCAATCGACGGCGGTGATCGGTTGCAAGACCGCCCGGATCGTGGTTATGTGCACGGTTGCCGTGCGGTCACGGATTGCCCCGGTGTGAACCTAGCCTGAATGATCACTGGTTCTGCCGCAGCCATTCAGACGTACAAAGCAATGACTTTAAAAAGCCGCAGTGGTTCGCCGCTCTTCACATAAATCCACAAATCTAGCAGTTACCTGCGACTAGGGACAGATGACCGGACGCAGACAGATTGAGCCCAGCAATTCATTCGGGGAAATGGATTTCAAGACATAATCAAAAGATGAAACAATTGTTTGTCACACAGTGCAGCCTCTGCCAGTCTTTTCATCATGTGGCATGTCTGGGATTGTCAAAAGCCTGCACGCCAAACCCACCGCCTACTATGCGCTGTGGTTCCATCCACCTCCCTCTACATCACCACAGGACACAATAGTGGTGTAGGGGTCAGCGGAGGGAACCACAGCGCCGGCGGGGGGACACACACACACACATAATCAACACTCCCAGAAGTGGGGTGGATGCTGCGATGGTAGAAGATGATCTACGGTACCAGAGAGGTGAGGATAAGAAATCTTCCAATGCAAGGCCTTTTTTTAGGATTTTATTTTAGCCTGCCAGGGTCACTTGAAGCTAGGGAATAAGGAAGCTCCATCTGCTTGTATCATCCAAGAGACGAAGGGCAGTGTCTGACAATCTGCTTTCATCTTTGTATCGTGCCTTTAGATCTGTTTGGGTTGATATTTGCTTGTAGCGTCTCTATACAATACGATTTCATGTGACTTCAGGATGTCACAAGAAGAAGCACAGACACTTGTTCATGGACATCGTTATTGAACCCAGTCTGTTACTGTGAAAACATCTATTAAAGGGAATCTCTAATATTTGGCATGTGTTTCCTTTCTTTATATTATGTGAAGAAGAAGAAAAATGAAATATTTATTTATTTTCCGCAAGATGAATGAGAGATATTGAATGTTAGTTTTTCATATTTACCACTTGTAGCCAGCTGGTGACAAATATGAGAAAACAGAGCCACTTAAAGGGCATCTATGGTCAAAAACTTAACTAGATCTGTATTTCTGTATTGGATTTCCACAAGTTCTAGCCCACTCCTAATAAACATTAAACATGTGCACTGGCAAAAAATTTGTTTCGTTTCGTTTTGATTCGGATTTTGCTTTATTTAGTTTTCCGGGATTCGGGCCCGAAATTCAATTCGTTTCGGGATTTGGATTCGTAAAAATTCGTTAGCGGTAGTCCGGTCGAAATTTTGTTTCATTTTCATTTAGTTCGTTCGCTGCAGCAAAATGACATTTGAGAAAAAAAAAAACTTTTTTTTTTTTTTTTTTACAGTCTG